AGAATTCTGACAGATTTTGGCCCTTTTAAAAGACCATAGTCATACAAGGATGGCTTCATAACATGGCTCCAGTCTACTCTCATGTTCTTATCTTCTCCTTAAATATGTGCCACATAACTGGAATAGCCACATGCAATGTTATTACCTTAATACCTAGCTTTATAAACTGGTCCCGTGGAGCCCCTATGCATGCAGATTCCTGTTCCAACCTCCACTAAGGTAAGAATCTTGATTTGTGAGAAGCCTGTAAATTTGAGCTCTGCATGCACATCTCACCTATTAATCATCATAAATTGAAGGTAGTGGAAGTTGGAATGAAGACCTAGCCTACACACAGAAATTCCCAAGCATTGACTTTTAAGAACCTCTGCTTGTTAAAATGGAAAATATTAAATCAAGTGAGTGACCAGTGAGGCCGCAGAAGTTAACTTTGCCGCTAAAAGTTAGACAATTACTTTGGAAACCACAGGGGAGGGAAATCAAAGTTTAGAATTAATTCCAGTCAAAGGATAGAAGTGAAAAGTTCCAGCAAGAGAGATGTGAGGAGAGATAAGTCTATTATAAAAACACATTTTCTGAAACTAAATCTAAAAATCTGCCTCCATTGTAATATCATCACGTATTAGGGTGCCATATAATCAGATATACAGTGAGCTCCAATAGTATTGGGACAGTGACACATGTATTGTTGTTTTGGCTCTGTAACCCAGCACTTTCAAATAATACAATGACTATGAGGTTAAAGTACAGACTGTCAGCTTTAATTTGGGGGTATTTTCATCCACATCGGGTGAACCATTTAGAAATTACAGCACATTTTTGTACATAGTCACCCCATTTTAGGTGACCAAAAGTATTGGGACAAATTCTCCTGTGTATTAAAGTAGTCAAAAGTTAAGTATTTGGTCCCATATTCCTAGCACGCAATGGTTACATCAAGCTTGTGACTCTACAAACTTGTTGGTTGTATTTGCTGTTTGTTTGTTTTGTGTTTCAGATTATTTTGTGCCCAATAGAAATGAATGGTCATTCAAGTACTGTGTCATTTGAGTCATTGTTATTGTACACTGAACAAAAATAAATGCAGCATGGAACACTTTCAAAGATCTTAATGAGTTACAGTTCATACAGGGAAATCAGTCAATTGAAATAAATTAATCTAGGGATTTCAAATGACTGGGAATAGAGATATGCATCGGTTGGTCACAAATACATTATTTTTTATAAACAGTCAGTATCTTGTCTGACCACCATTTGCCTCATGCAGCACGACACATCCCCTTCACATAGAGTTGATCAGGCTGTTGATTGTAGCCTGTGGAATGCTGTCCCACTCCTCTTCAATGGCTGTGCGAAGTTGCCGGATATTGGCGGGAACTTGAACACGCTGTCGTACATTTCAATCCAGAGCATCCCAAACATGCTCAATGGGTGACATGTCTAGTGAGTATGCAGGCCATGGAGAACTGGGACATTTTCAGCTTCCAGGAATTGTGTACAGATCCTTGCGACATGGGGCCGTGCATTATCATGCTGAAACATGAGGTGATGGCGGCGGATAAATGGCACTACAATTGGTCTCAGGATCTCATTCTGTAATTTTCTTACTCAGCATTATTCACGATTCATTCAGGACTATCCATAATCATGGTAGCATCAACATTAATTTAGAAATGTTTAGAAACATATTCTATTCTTATTTACAATAAAAGTGACTCCAAAATGGCACAATACATTATTTACCATTCATTTCTATTGGGCACAAAATAATCTGAAACACAACCAAAACAAACAGCAAATACAACCAACAAGTTTGTAGAGTCACAAACTTTATGTAATTATTGCGTGCTACGAATATGGGACCAAATACTAAACTTTTGACTACTTTAATACAAATATAAGTGAATTTGTCCCAATACCTGTGGTCCCCTAAAATGGGGGGACTATGTTCAGAAAGTGCTGATATTTCTAAACGGTTCATCCGATGTGGATGAAAATGCTCTCAAATTAAAGCTGACAGCATGCACTTAAACCTCAGCCATTGTACCATTTCAAATACAAAGTTCTGGAGTACAGAGCCAAAACAAACCACAAATGTGTCACTGTCCCAAAACTTTTGGAGCTCACTGTAATTTGCAGTGGCTGAAATGATTAACACATACTGAATCTCATAGTAGTGTATATTGTTAGTCATATTTGTGTAACTATCATTGCATGACAAACAAATAAAAAGGCATTGTTTCATTAATCAGAGGAAGTTGTGTCATCATTAACTGCATTGTCTAACCTGGGACCGAATGTACATTTGGTTTTACAAATTCAACTGAACAAAGTTTATTATAAATAAATAATAATAATAATAATAAATACACTTAGATACAAACGAAGAGAGTCATGAATTAGACATTAACTAAGCACTGATCTGACAGTACTAGAAGGACATGGATGATGACAAAATGGGGGAAGCCTACACTAAAAGGCTGGGGTTTGTTCACTAGAATCCAAACGGAAGCAAACAGAAGCAAATGGAACGAAACGTGGAGGGGCCTAACTGAATTTGTCCAATAGAAGCTTTCCGTGGCGAAACATTTTGCAACCGTTTGCTACAGTGTGCACTAATGATTACACCCCTGGACAGAGTTGCTGCTATATAACTTTTTCCTATCCAGCCATTTAATGTTAGTGAGGAGTAGGAGATGTGTCTCTCGGTGGTATTCATTAGTTGTACGTCGTAGCAAAACGTTTTGCACTATAGCAAAACGTTTTGCAACACAAACTGTTTACTCCAAATGGAAAACAAGGGTTTCTATAGGACAAATTCAGGGGTGTATTCATTAGTCAGACACCGTAGCAAACAGTTGAAGAATGTTTCACAATGGAAAACTTTTTGAAACGAAAACATGAGTTTCTATTAGACAAATTCAGGTATGTCCCTCCCTGTTTTGTTATTTTTGCTTCCGTCTGGTTTCTAGTGAATATACCCCAGATAGGTCCCATTTTTTTCTGTTTGGTTCATATTGAATACACCCAGTGATGTTACGTTTGATACCGGAGGGCTGAGGCATGCTTCGAAATTGCTAAGCAGTTTACTTTCGAAGCAGTGTGCCGATGCCTGTATCACTTTATTTGAAGCATGTGATCAATGATGTCTGAAGCTTATTTTCGTCGAACAACCACCTGATTGGTTTGGTATTGCATTATGCTACACCCGCTATAACATCTGCTAAACACGTGTATGTGACAAATAAAATTTGATTTGATTTACATTTACATTTTAGTCATTTAGCAGACGCTCTTATCCAGAGTGAATTACAATTAGTGAGTGCATACATTTTTCATACTTTATAAGACAAAAAGGCTACTCTGCGCACATGCTACAGAGTGTGGGACGTCATCTATAATAATTTGGCTGCTCTATATTCTTTTGACCAGCAGGTGCCACTAGTGTACAGTGTGTTGATCGAAGCCTTAAGTAATGAACCTATTTGACACAATTGGCAGGAAAGCGCCAATGCTTCAGGAAGCTTCGTTTCCCCATTACTAAATACACCCAGGGACTCCTTTTCAATTGCCTAAAATATGTGGTCCTCGCCTCTCCTCTCCTTCATCTGCAATAATCTGGAAAAACTGACCAGAAGAAACCATCCTAATTATAAGCATCCACCATATTATTTTCACCTGTCAAGTCGTTTGCAATCAGTGCAGTTGACGGGAGACAAAGAGGGGACAGTTTTTTAGACAATTGAGAAAGAGCCAGTCCCGGTTTCCCAAAAGCATCTTGAGGCTAAGTTCATCGTTAAAACCTTCGTAGGTGCATCGTTAAAACGCTGAGCTGTTTCATAAAATCATAGTTAAAGTTGCATTTAACAACGCTCGCGATGTAATGCCTGCCTCAGACCAGAACAGCTAAGTGCTTTGTCAATGCTTTTTTTGCCCTCCCACGTCACTTTATACATAGAAGATCGCCGCTAAACATAGAATCAATCACATGGTTCATCCATATCTCAGTGACCTCTGATAACTTCAGAATGAAGTTGACTGGAGATAAAAACTTGCCAATGTCTTTGCAATTGATACAAAAAAGCAACGTATAAAAAGAGGAGTCAAATAAAAACAGATGACTGCATTCAAATATAAACAGTAGGCTATAGGCCTATTTCAATCATATTGAAATACATTTCATGTTCAATCAATAGAGTTCTATTTTGCTACTTGTAGGCTACGGTATGTAATGTCTCAATATATTTCATGATGTGTAGCTTAACATGTGCACAATGATGTTCCAAATCGGTGATTTTGTGCATTTTTATTGGGGTAAGCATTAGAATAAGCCACCTCAATATTTGCTGCCGTCGGTGGTAATATTTACATTTTAGTCATTTAGCAGACGCTCTTATTCAGAGCAACTTACAGTTAGTGAGTGCATTCATTTTTTTTTCATACTGGCCCCCCGTGGGAAACGAACCCACAACCCTGGCGTTGCAAGCGCCATTCTCTACCAACTGAGCTACACTGGGCTCTATCTCTCTAGGAGCTGATCCGTCGTCAGTATTGTGAAATAATTCTAATGTTAAGGAAAGACTTGAATTGTAAAAGTTGACCCGAGAGCAGCGCTGCCTTTCTTTTGATCCTATCAGTATCGACACGTGCTCCAACGATGCAGGTAGCGGCCGTTCTTTCTACGTGGAGTTTTGGAAAACGCATGTTACAGCTTCGGCCGTTGTAGGAAAGATGCACTGTTAAATTTTATCGGGTAAACGGGGCCAGGACATTATATGAACACACCACATAGTATTGAGATACATCCAGTTCAGATTGTAGTCTATGTACAGCTGTGTAACACGTCTGGAAGATCATTAGGTAAATCAAACAAGGGGTGGAGTCAATCTAAGACAAAGGGATACAAAATGGCTGTTCAGTGACGCTGGAGTTCTTGCAAACAACGAAGAATTGTCAAGAAATATATAATAGGGAATAAAAAGAACAGAGAAAAGAGAATAATGGGGTTTTGTATTAAAATCCTCCTACTGCTTACCTTTGGCTGTGTAGCTACTTTAGCTACAGTTCAGAAGATTTATCTAGGAGCGGAATCCCAGAGCCAAACGGCACATGCCCCTGGGAGATTTGTTCCACAGTACAGGCCTGCTCAAGAACCAGCCAGATTTCAACCAAGGCCTGTGCAAAGGCCCGCTGAGGTCCAGACACCGACACAAGTTCAAGACCCTTTCCTCCAGTCAAAGCAGACGTTCAATGAGCCTTTGACCTGGCGGTTTCCTGAAGATCCAATCAAAGAGGTGCAGCTGGCTATTGTTGAGCAGAGACCGCCGCCTGTGCCTGTAAATAGTGTGGCAGTTCAATGTGGGGAGAATTCTGCCCACGTTGAAGTCAAGCGAGATCTGCTCGGTATCGGCCAACTCATTAACCCAGCGGATCTCACCTTGGGAGGCTGTGTGGTCACCGGGGAGGATGCTTCTGCTCAAGTGCTGATCTTTGACACAGAGCTGCACGGATGTGGCAGCACTCTGACGGTAACATTGAGCTTTAGCACCGTTATGATTCTGTAAGGTTGACAACCATTGATTTTCTTACAATGCCACTTGCTGCTCTGATTCCAGATGACTGATGATTCACTGGTCTACGTCTTCACACTCCGTTATACACCAGCCACTCTGGGCAGCAGCCCCATTGTTCGGACAAGAGAAGTGGTGGTCTGGGTTGAGTGCTACTACCAAAGGTGAGTTGACTATACCTGTTTGTTTTTTTTGTCACCTCAATCGACTTTGGATGCACTTCCTTGGACTTTGGTTTCACGAAATCGACTCCTTTACAGAAAGCATGACGTGAGCAGCGGTGCAGTGAAGCCCACCTGGAATCCCTATGCCTCCACTAAGGTTGCAGAGGAGCTCCTGTACTTCTCCCTGAGGCTAATGACTGGTGAGTAAGGGCTTGTCCTTGCCATAGATCTTGACAGGCACTGACTTAAGTGCTGTCTCTGCACTTGTTTGTAAACTGTGGGGGTGGGTCTTGCCAACTGGCAAATGTAACCACCACTGAGTTATTGGAATGAGGTGGTGACCCCAGAAAACAAAATGACAGCAGTTATTTTTGCCGATATCCAACCCCACAGTTGACAAACTAGAGCAGGGGCATTGTTTGAAATGAGTAGTAGATTATGCCCTTTACTTGTCTTCACAGGTAACTGGCAGTTGGAGAGACCCAGCAACGAGTACATTCTTGGAGATAATATTAACTTTGAAGCTTCTGTCGTCCAGTTCTACCATGTGCCCCTCCGAGTCTTTGTGGACCGCTGTGTAGCCACAGTCATCCCAAACATTAACACTGTCCCAAGATATGCCTTCATCGAGAACCGTGGGTGAGTACTTTATCAGGTTCAAGGACTGTAATTGTTTGCTTTAATCTGTTGCGGAAGTAAGGCATTTCCCATTCCCTCCACCTGCCCACACTTCAGCTCAACGTCCATTTTGAATGGCATCCCTCCAGAGGTTCAGCAGTGTACAGTAGGTAGCCTAATATTTACCCATTTGTGCCCTTCAGTTGTCTGGTCGACACCAAGCTGACAGGGTCCAGGTCCCAGTTCATGCCTCGCACAATGGATGACAATCTCCGGTTCCAGATGGAAGCCTTTAGGTTTCAGGATGTGAACACTGGCTCGGTGAGTAGTTAATCCTGAGATCTTATGCAAATGCTCTTGGGATATCCCAATTATAGAATTGGCAGTTTTGATGAGCTTCAATCAAAAATGAGGTGTGTTATGCCCAATATGACTGGTGACGTACCCACAATGACCGTTGCTTTGAATGAGTGTCAAATCTAATAATTATGTGGTACCAATGCTGAGACTTCAACAAATGTCATTTCAACAGCTGTACATTACCTGCCTCCTGAAAGCCACAACAGCTTCAGCCCCTATTGATCATGAGAACAAGGCCTGTTCCTTCTTGAATGGGTAAGTCTGGGTGTATATATGGAAGGGTGTGCACTTTTCTTTAATTACACATACTATATGCAACTCTGTTTTCCATAGATGGAGTGAGGCCAGTAGGAAAGACCAGGTGTGTGGCTGTTGTGACACAGACTGTGGCATGAGAAGGGAACCGGGTCCAGGTACATTTGCACTTCAGTCCAGTGTTTCTCAGTCATTCCTGATGACTGCCTGGAGTGTATATTTTTGTCCTACTCAAGTACCTACAGACGTCATTCACCTAAGCCCTTGGCTGAATTTGCTGTTAGTGCTGGGCTGAAACAAATGTGCACCCACTGAATAATGTATGTAAATTGTATTTTGGCTGTCTTTTTCGTTATGTCGGACCCCAGTTAGACTAGCTGTCGCCATTTGTGTCGGCTAATGGGTCCTAATAAATCAAAACGTAGGAATTGACTGAAACACCGCTTTAGTCAGGTGTCATATTTGAGTTCTCCTGTATAGACATGGTTTGATTTGGTCTCTAATAGTCTTCTGCTCTTCCTAGGTTTCCAGTGGGAGCAAGAAGTTTCTATTGGTCCTCTCAACATCAAGGAAAAGCTTCTTGACTGATGGCCTACTTTTCATTTGGACTGACTTTCCTACCAACATTTTTTTTTCTGGATGATTAAGAAAGTACATCATTTTGAAGGTTTCTGTCTTGAGTGCATTTTGTTAATGAGCTTTTGTAACATGTAACCAGGTCTAAAATTAAGTACATATCTTGTTGCTCGCTAGCTACTTTGACAGTTTGACAAGATGTGGTAGCTAAGCTTGTTTACAAACAAATTACTGAATGTGCTAAATGACTACCTAGCTAGTTTACTATGGCTAGGCAAAAAGGACTAGTTTTGAAAGTTGGGTCAAGTATTCTTAACATTCAAAACAACTGGGGAAAAGTCCATGGCAGGCATTGTCACCTTAGCTTGCTACATAACTTCTGACTGACATCAAGTGCAATACTACGACAACTAGCGTAGCCTTGTCAGCAAATGACTGCTGTCTGAACACCCATCCAACTTGGTTACTAGTAACTTGCTGTTTGGCCGGACTGTAGTCAAGCGGATTTGGAAAAACAAAACTGATTTGAGTGTTAAGGCCTGCAGTGTGAACAAGGCTTTAGACTAATACCATCGAAAGGGAAGCATCTGTTAAACTTTAATACCAAAGTGTGACTTGCACAATTTCCCGTTAACCTCTGGGAGAGGGCATAGAAGCAGTCGTTCCCAAAGTATTATGTCTAGACCCTAGAAAATGTCCTGTAAATCTCTGGACTGAAACAATGCAAATTACATTATAGCGCATCAAACATTCTAGAGTAAGAATTGTTTACGTGACTGAACTATTGTTCAATCTGTTTTTCTGGACATAATGAAAGGGGTCAATTCTGGGTCCTGTACTTATTACATTAAGTTGATTTGTCAAAAAAACATTCCTGCACTTGTATGCTGCTGATACTGTTGCGTATGCTAATGCCCCCACGGTTGACCAGGCTCTGAACTAGTCTGCCTTCATTGTATTATGTTTATAGAGAAGAGCACTCAACATGTCCTGCACTGACACAAATTGCTGATGATTGGTTCAAAGAAAATGCTAAGAAGATTGTGGGAGCTGTACTGTTAGTTTTCAGTGCAGCCTTTGATATTATTGACCATAACATGTTGAAAAAATGTACAGTACCAATCAAAAGTTTGGACACACCTACTCATCCAAGGGTTTTTCTTTAATTTTAAAATGTTCTACATTGTAGAATAATAGTGAAGATATCAAAACTATGAAAAAACACATGGAATCATGTAGTAACCCAAAAAGTGTTAAACAAATCAAAATGTATGTTACATTTGAGATTCTCATGGTCCTAACACACCAAGACTGTCGTGAAGAGGGCACAACAAAACCTTTTCCCCCTCAGGAGACTGAAAAGATTTGGCATGGGTCCCCAGATCCTCAAAAGCTTCTACAGCTGCACCATCCTGACCAGTTGCGTCACAGCCTGGTATGGCAACTGCTCGGCATCCGACCGTAAGGCGTTACAGAGGGTAGTGCGTACGGCCCAGTGCTTCACTTGGGCCAAGCTTCCTGCCATCCAGGACCTATATACTAGGAGGTGTCAGAGGAAGGTCCAAAAAATTGTCAAAGACTACAGCCACCCAAGTCATACTGTTCTCTCTGCTACCGCATGGCAAGCGGTACCGGAGCGCCAAGTCTAGGTCCAAAAGGCTCCTTAACAGCTTCTACCCCCAAGCCATAAGACTGCTGAACAATTAATCAAATGGCCACCCGGACTATTTACATTGACCCCCCCCTCCTCATTTCTACACTGCGTGGTTTATCTATTCATAGTCACTTTACCCCTACCTACATGTACAAATTACCTTGACTAACCTGTCATTGACTCGGTACCGGTCCCCCTGTATATAGCCTCATTCTTTTGTGTTACGTTATCATTTTTTTACGGTAAAAGTTTTCATAACTATTTCTGGAACTGCATTAAGGGCTTGTAAGTAAGCGTTTCACGGTAAGGTCTACACCGGTTGTATTCGGCGCATGTGACAAATAAAATGTGACTTTGATTAGAGTAGCTGTCACAGTTTAGAGTGAAGCCCTTTTTACTCCACCCAACACAGCATTTAATGTTCTCCGGCACACAACCAACGCAGAAGACCAAGACAGACAAGTATGCTTAAGGTAAGTTTTATTTTAAATTCATAGGTTAACATGGATCAGACCCGATTTCCTCAACTCCCACAGCAGACTGCACGATTTCCCAGACTGTGTCGATACTCAGATAGGTTCCCTCCCCCTGACTCCTTCAGGTAAATATCGGGCATGCAAAAGTGACAATTATTCTGAATGACACTGCAACAACATGGTGAAAGGCCCTACAAATCTCATTCCACAATTAATTATTCTGATATGGCACTGCAACAAGATAGTTATTCTAAGAGAAGGCACTGCAACAATATGGTGAAAGGCACTGCAATCTTGCTCTGGTGCTGCATACAATATGGAACCCACCCTTGGCCCTGCTCTACTCTGCCAACCCCTCTAACGGACTCTACTACTATGGGACAAATAGGGAGGGGAAAAGACAGACAAGACAACATATAGGGGGCTAGGTTCTCGATTTCTAGGGCCCGACGAGAACCATATCCCCAGAAAATAAAATAAACGTCTCTGTATGGCGATATCCAGATCCGCACAGCTCCCTGTCCTGGAACCCGCCCAGTCAGACTCTGCTTGGCGACGTCAGCGATGGCCCCGCCTCCAGTGCTAAACAAGAGGAAGACAGATGGCAGGGAAACCTGCTGACAATAGTGTCGTGGCAAAACGGCCCAGAGAGAAAGAGTAGTGTAAGGGGAACAGAGGAAGAATCACGTCCTTTACTTGGCGGAGCTAAAGCGCATAGATGTGCGTTGTACCAATGCCTCTCTGCGCTCAGATCACCACTCAGCTCTACAGCCCAAGTTCATCGTCAGCGCAGCCACCCACTTCCTCACTCGAATTTGCCAGTAAGGCTTCTCGTCCCGCAGACACCGGTTCAGTGCGATCACAGCAACCACCCAAGACATGGACACTTGCATAAGGGCCCGATCCCTACAGAGAGCCATTCTCCGCTCAACTACCAGCCTGAAAACCACAAATTACAGGGTTTTGAAAGGAAATTAAAGCCAATCCCCAGTTACCTGTCTGATTAGCTAACTCTCTGCAGGTGCGTCTGTTTACACCAGCCCCGCCACCCGCTTATCTACCAATCCATCTCGTGACATAGCTATAGTGTAAAATAAAAAGCTGTATCAATCCTAATATGTAATGGTATTGATTTTACAAACCTCTGAAAGGGTGGCCTTGCAGGCTTCAGCACTGTGAATGCATTGTATTACAAACTCTAATAATTGCTGGCATTTTCAGAAAGTGTTTTAAAGGAAATGGTCTGTTTGGACCATGGCACTGCTGCTGTGTCCTGTCAGTGAGTATGTTTACATGTACTCTAATAATTCGATATTCAACTGATCATGGCACTAGGCCGAGTATGGCATTAGTCAAGTAAACACCTTTGGTTATCTTAATTGGAGTAAGGTCATAATCGAATTAAGCATATGCCAATTAAAACACCTGGTGTTCTGACCAATCTTTCAAATTAGGACATGCCTTAATCAGAGTTATAGCGGTGTATTTGATATGCGCATTGACTAGCACAATCAGCGCAAGCCTCCTTTTGCGTCAGCGAAAAACAAAGTATGCATTTTAGAAATAGTTTTCACATACAAACGTTATGTCTGAACTCCGAATCAAATCATTTTCACAAAAATAACATGGCCGGTTTTGTAGAACTTTTATTTTGGATGGTGATTTTCTGCATTTATCAAATTCCCATCAGGTAGCTTGATTTCAGATGTGTCCATGTAAACAGGATTATTAGGGAAATCGTTCTTCTTGAAAAGCATGTAAACGTTTAAATCGAACTATTATATTAATCTGACTATTCACAATAATCGTATTATTTATGTGAATGTAACCGTACTCAGTGTAACCGTACAGTGTTACATCTGAAACAAACCTTTAGTTGGCTTTTAGGTCCAGAATGACTGCAATTATACAATTTTATAAAAATTTTCATGATCCTTTTGTCAATAGTGCTGAAGCTATTAGATGTTGAGGATTTACAATCTGGCTGGGTTTTTATTTTGTGTCAGTAATGTTGCCAAGATGCCAATTCCGTTTCAAATCGTGTTTGATGGTCTATTTTATGCTTTTCACACAACTCCATGAAACACCTCTTATTCCTCCACACATTCATAAAAATTCATTCATATTATTTATCCACCATAATTGAAGTGGAAAGGACGGATTTGCACACTTCCATTCTTCTGGAGTTAGTTCTCCAGCTGTAATAAAAAAACAATAACATCAAGGACAATTAAATCAATTATGTAAATATTCTACTTCAAGACATGGTGAAAACGTGTAGAGAAAAAATTAAACAATTAAATACTTTAATAACTTTTGATTTACAGTAAATACTGTGAAGGACTTAGAAGTTATAAAATAATTGCGTTCAGCTTTTTGTTTGGCATGTTATGTGTAATTATTATTACAATGCAAGAGCTTTAAAATGAATGAGATTCGTTTAAACTTTCATAACTGAGCAGTGGATGTAGCAGAGTTAAACTCATCAATCTCTAGACAACCTTGAACCCATTATTATCTTAATTAACCCTTATACCTTTGCCTTTTGCAGTGCTAGAAAAATATTACAACTTTACAGTAGAAGCTTCATCAAAATTATTCAATCGAAAATGTAATGAGCTAGACCAAGAACTTGAGTGTTAAGTGTATGCTAACAAAGCTTTCAGAAGTTTTTTACCCTTTTTAGTAATTTCTTGAAAACTTTTCGATGGCTCTAATTTGCACCTCTGGGGTGTTGCGTCTGTCATTGTGTTTATCATTCTCTGACAAAGACACTAGCTCTCTGATAAAGCCACTCCCTCTGATAAAGCCACTCCCTCTGATAAAGCCACTCTAGCAGCCGAGGTAAGAAAATACGTGATTTTTTTAAAACAAATGAGGTG